TAACTGCCTGCTCTAGGATCACCACCTGTAGAATAATGAGCTGCTGCTTTAAGGGCAAAATGCCTGCTCCTACCTCCCTTTGACATGCCCCATGCCTCGCAGATGTTTTATAATTTTCTCTTTATGTTGGGGTCTCAGCTGAGGGCTTATCCCCCTCTCTCTAGCTAGGTCTGTCAATCAAAACCAACTAAGCAGGGCAGGACTCCAAGACTCTAGCTCTCTAATCTGCTCGGGCTCAAGGCCCTCTGTTTCTTACTCTACACGACACCAGGCCTACTGGCTCTTCTACATTGTGCCCCTGTGGCAGACAACCTGTCAGTAGTACACGTTAAAAGATTTATTATAATTACTTTTATATGACAAAGTTTCCTGGTGGTACTTAAGATTGACCTGAAAAATTTGTGGGTGGTACTTAAGGTTGTATCATTTTGAACTGGTGCGCAATCTGCCAGAGTTTGCGAACAGTTGGTCAACAGCAATTTCCTGTCATTAGATCCATTTAGTTGGCTGTGCCTTAATTGCCTCAAACAGCCACTCATGAGAGAATATTTCTTTTCCCCTGTTTAGACAAAGGCAGAAATATGAAAATAGGAGCATGTCCACAGTTGGCCAATGGGATTCTGTATGGTTGTCACTTCCATACCAGGAAAATGTATGTGCTAATAGGGGATACCTGGGGTCTGAGTGCTCAGAGCAGTGGTAATGGAAGAAAGAAGTTGGTAGCTCATTTATACAACTGGCCCAGTATGGAATTAAAGCTTTTAATACTAATAACTGTTTAGTGCCCTGTATGAAATGGCTGTGGTGCCTGCATTTAGTTGCGAGTAACCCAAGGCCACACCAAAGCCAGCCTTTGGATCCTGGTGGACAGTCTCAGAAGAAACACTGAAGTGCCATGAGGTTGTCTTTTCACCCCAAAGGCAGCCCCTGAGGGGTAGAACTGAGGCGCAGTTGAGAGCAGCAGGACATGGGGTACAACTGCTTTGCTAATACCTGTACTATACCACAGAATGCCTCACAAAGAATAACTTATCATTAGCCAAGGAAGGGAGGCACTGACTTAAAGAGGCATTTCCATTTCTAATACCTATTCTTCACTTTTATCAAGAAGTGCTCCAGAAAGCAGGGCAGCTGCTTTTCACCTTCCCTACTTAACTGCTAAATAGACTTGCAAGTGCCACTTTCAACACTTAAGGAAATCTCTTAATCTTAGGCCCACCCTGTCTCAAGCCTCACTTACCACAGGAAGCATCCATGATAAATGAGGTTGTTCTCAATAAACTCAGATGGTGCTTGAAAACTTGTACCTCTCTTCAGAGTCTTCAGGCTTTACTTGTGATACAGTCAGGCTGGTCTGAGTGTTTCTCTGGCAACCTGTCAGGATTAGGGCAAACACCCCACTTTATTGTATATGCTCGACTCAAAGGTCAAGAGATCCCTCGCAGCAGAACTCTGACACAATCAAGCTCCAGGTTAGGTTAAATAAAATAATATATATTTCACGCAAAGTGGAAAAAGAGAATCAAATCACAGTTTCACAGCATATCAGCTCACCATTGTCCTGAGAACTGTATAAACACTTATATATTGCACTTTAATTTCCACTTACAGATTGGGAACTGTCAAGGCATTTGACAGCACTTGTAAAAGCTTTATTTCCCCACAATCATGTATACCGAAGCTCTGGAAGCATGAGTTGAAGCATTTTCCCTGAGGTACTTATATGCACAGTGATATGTCAGCAGTGCTGATGGCTGAGGCACAGCCATTGTTATGCTCCTAAATGGAGTCGTTCAGACACTATACCATTGAATACGTCTCTACCATGTCTCCACCACTGCCAGGGTCTCCCACTCTTGCTTCCAAGTGTCAAACCAAGGAACATGGCAGTGAAGCACTTTGAGAGGTATCCTTCTGCAGCAAATTCTAAAATTCAGTCAGAATCTGATAGCAGCAATGGAAGAATACCCAGGAGTGCCCCCATCACCACTTATCCAGGTTTGCCATACGTGAATAGGTGGATTAGTTGGCTGGAAGCTTGGGCTCCTAGCAGAAGCAGGGATCTAGTATAGATGTACTCATTGTACATAGTATGTGCATTTGCCTCACTGCTCATAAAAATAGAGGAATCAAATCTAATGAAAATGCCTTCTCCCCTGCATTTTCATCTTACTTTCAGATATCAGCAATTCTTGTTTAGTTTAGGTTATTTGAGTTCAGTTCAGTCAGGCTTGTGATCCTTAAGAAGACAGTGGCCAACCCAGCTCTAGCAGTGGAGTGAAGGTGGAATTCTGTGGAAGAGTTCTTCAGTTGGGGAAGACAATTAGATCAAGTGAACCTGGTTCATCATTGTGTCTTCTTCAGGAACAGAAATGCACTACAGAAATCTTTGTGTCTTTGCTACTTCTCCTCCACTAGCTGAATGGGTTCAAAGATCTTCCATGGGAACACTTTCTCTTAGCAAGGCACTGATGAGTGCAGGGGAGAAATCAGGGCTGCAGAGCTCCTTGTTTGGCTTTCCAAGGTGGGTCACTTGCTAATGTTTGAAATGATACCCCACAGTCCTTCCTGGCAAAGATGTTCTAAACTATGCTCCAGGTATGGGATTAAGGCTTTTCATAGCTGCTAAATCACTTGATTATGTTGAGACATGAGTTTGAAGCTGTCATCCAGTATGGATCTCTTGTTGCGTCTTAATTTTTTTTGCCTCTCAAGGCGGATGATCACTCCCAGCAGGAAGCTGGCAGTGAGGAACAGCACAATTCCTGCAATGGTCAGAATGATGATTGTGGTTTGCACTTGCCCTGGATCCAGCTGATATCCAAACATATTGAAATTGTTTGACTCATTATCTGGAGGAGTTGTCACTGAAAGCAAACAAATGGAAAAGGTGACAGTTGGGGGAGGGGGAAGAAATATGACAATTTAAGGGGTCAGAGAAATGTGGAAAGAGGGGAGTTGGTGGAGAGAAAGACCCACCTCTATGGGAAGTCAAACCAACCACTGTCCAGTCCCACAGCTCTTTTATTGGCTGGGTCTTGTAGAGATTCTCCAGGGGGAGCAATAATTTAGCCTTCCATTCAAGAACCCCAATGTCCTTTGCCAACCTCCATTCACTGAATCACACACAAGTCTTTGGGCAAGTAACACAGGGATAACTGAAGCACAGATACACATCAGGGCAGATGTCCTGAAAACCCAGAAGGTGGCAATAGACCCCAGCTGGTTCTGTGCCGTGCTGTGCTGGGGAGGGAGGCATAAAACAGCAGAGAAGCACAGAAAGGCTTTTATGATGAGAGGTAAAGTAACTTGCTCAGTAAGTTAGTGGCAGAGCCAGGAGTAAAACCGGGTTTTGACTCCTACTCACTGCTATGTAGTAAGTATGCAAAAGCACTTCACAGCTTCACCTGCTGCCAGCGTCCTCATCCTGCTTCTAGAACTGATATGGTAAACCCTAACACCCTAGGCTCACTCCTCACTTCAGTTCTGCTCTTCCAAACCACTGTGTCCTTGCAGTGACTTGATCAGAAATGACCGTGATGAACCATTAAAGATCTTTAGCTCCCTACCATTGTGAGTTCTCTTTTGTGTTTTGCAAGGATGTGGAAACCTTTTCTAGAAGCAAAGGTATCTGTGTGAATGACAACCACAGACTAGAGCTTTTGTGCCAGTTAATGTTATGAGTGTTTGAGACTGGTATAAAATTAACTGCTTATTCCTATTAATCCTGCTCCAGTGAAGGTTATATCTCCTCTCCTGTATTCTGATCTCGAGGAAGTTGTTGAGGTTGTATTATAATAATAAAGCATACCTCCTCCAGCTTCTTTGACTTTTGCCACTGGGTCTGAAAAGAAATGAAAAATGAGTGAGGGATTGTTATGTTGTGCAGGAAAGAAAAGTACAAAAAAGTGGAGTTTATGACAGGTGATTGTTAACTAGCCTGGTTACATGGTTTTAGAAAGGCATGCTGGTCAGCATGCATGGCATTCAACAGGCATGCAAAGGACGTAATGCCCAGCCTCCTCACACAAAGGGCTAATGGAAGGTGCTAGAAGCCAGCTTTCATCCAGCCCCAGCATCTGCTTAGAAAATAACTTAGACAGCAAGGACAATTTCTAAGACCCAATTTTGAACAGTGGCTAGCATTAGAGGACATAGAGTTAGGTCCATGCTATGTCCTCAGTTCAGTGCAGGAGTTGTGCCTGCAGAAAAGAAGCTGGCTTGATGGGGCTTCAAAATTTACCCCTAAAGCTCTGTTCTCTAATCCTTGCTGATGGTGACAGTCATGTGTTGCTTTAGGCTGCTTCCCAGCTTCCGGTTTGGGCCCTAACACTTAAATCCCAGTAAACTGTTTTCTTTTCAGAGTTTACTAGATTCTTTGTTATGGAGGCTCCCACCCACCCTGCTGATCTCTCTTCCATCCAAAAGCACCCTTACACTCCCAGGTGAGTGCAAGCCTACCCAAGAGTACAACTCAGGCTTAACTGATATACACAATCTTCTGATAACCTTTTGAAGAGCAGGACACAAAAGTGCCATGAAGTATCACTTGTCTCAGAGTGGCTTCTAATGCTTTGTGATGAGACCTAGAGCCTCAAAATGCTTGTTTGTGCTACAGCTAGTACTCTCTGTAGTAAGCAAAATGAGACAATCGCAGGGCAATGCTTCCAAGACAGGAAATAATACAAACCTAATAGTAATATCCTGGGCTGTATAAACTTTGACACCAACTTGTTTCTTAGCCCATATACAATGATTACAGTGTAAGCAGGCAGAACCCAAGTTAATACTTTATTTAACTACTTAATGATTGATTAGTTGATAGATGCTGACCCATTTGAAGGGCTACATAAATGCTGGTATTAATATTTGGAAGTTTCTCATAGTATTTAGGATGATGATGACGACTGCTGAGCGATAGGTGTTTCTACCTTACCTGGTTTGTGTAAGACATGGAAGAGTATTTCCATACCAGCGTGGATATGATCTGAAACATGGCAATGAAGCAGCCAAGTCCCAGGGTTCCCAACCAGCATCTCCACCATTACAAAGGTCCCAGGAAACAGACTCTCAACATCAGCTCTGTGCATCTTGCCGTACTGCCAGAAGGGAATGGGGGGATGTTAGCAATGTTCCATGTGCCTTTGGAGAACTTTAGCTAAAAGCAGTTATGTTCAACCTCTGACCTGCAGGCCAAATTTGGTAGTGGGGAGCAGTGACTGCACTAATTGCTGCAGCTTCTGAAACCCAGAAATTAATGCTGCCACTGCTCCCCTGCTGCAAAATTTCCAGACCCATGGGGGGGCCCGCAGGCTGCATAATACAACCCCATGCGCCAATACAGGGAGTCACTCTGCAGTTGGATCCAGTGCATGGGGCCAGGCTGACCTGCTGGATCACCCACAGGCCAGCTCCATGTACCAAACCTACATAAGATTAGTCCTGCAGACCAAGCCCACCCATGGGATCTGGCCTGCGGACTGGCCCCATGCCACTTATTCAGTGGAGTTTGAGCACCAGGACTGTGCAAGGCTTCGGACCGTTCTTCAGATCTGGAGAAGCTTCGGATACTTTGGCATCTGAAACAGCGTGTCTGGATCAAAGCACTGGCTTAGTTAGGCTTTCCAAAGTGGTTCGGAGCTTCCAAACCGTTTTGGAAAAGCTTCGGAGCCGCCTCAGAGATCCAGCCATAGGGTATAATGGGGAATCAATGAAATACCTATAAGTTTGCTAATTTTTGTCTGATTTAAATGAAACTTGCAGGGATGGTAGCCTCTTCTGAGTGCATGAAGTTTACCAAGTTTCAAGAAGATCGGTATAGGGGTTTGGGAGGAACTGCACCCCAAATTCTTGAAAGCAAAACTCATGTCACATGTATGTGTTACACCACAGGAGGATGAAAACTGCAGGGGTGGTGGCCCCTGCTGAGGCCATGATGCCTGCAAAGTTTCAAGGAGATAGGTGCAGGGGTTAGGGTGGAACTGCACTCAAGCTGCGGACAAGCAAAACTCGTGACATGGGTGACACTGCATGTGTTAAGGTGCAGCAGGGTGAAAGCTGCAGGCCTGCTAGCCCCTGCTGTGGTCACAAAGCCTGCCAACTGTCAAGCAGATAGGTGCAGGGGGGTTCTTGGGTCAGATCAAAGCGGGAACCCGATCCGGAGCCCCAGATCAAATCGCTGGCATCCGAAGCTGCCAGCTCTGAAGCCAGATCGAATAGCTGCTTACTCGCACAGGCCTATTGAGCACCACTGGCTTAGAATAACAAGAAGCATTGTACAGTCAGTAGGATCTGTCTGACTCTAGATGACTTTGGAGCTAACCATAGTGTCTGTGTTAGAAAGAGCAACTCCAGAGTTCTAAAAGGAGGAGAGTAACCTACCAAAAGCAGATCTTGAGATGGCTGAGCTAGGGATATCAGCACTGTGGGATCCATTTTGACTGCTTAGGGCATGTAAAATCTTCTCAACTGCTGATTATGTGAAATGGCTGTCATCATACCCAGCTGGCTGACATTAATCAGGATCAAATGCATGCAATGATGCCCACCCAGCATCATCCTTCCCTCTGAAAGCATCAGAAGATTCTCACCCTGTGTATGAAGCTTTCGGCATGAAAATGGATGGTGTGCACATCAATCTCTTGGCCCATTCCCAGTAGGTACCAGCTCACCCAGTCTCTTTGGTACATAGTCAGCCCAGGCAGGTTTGCGTAGACCCTACCATTTATGGCTGCAGTGCAAAAAATAGGTTGAGAGAACGGAAAGGTTAGGTAGTCAAATAATAGGTACTCTGTGCTATAGCAGCAGTGACCAACTTTTTGGCTCTGCAAGCCAGATGAGTGAGTTCAGACCATAAGCTGGGTTCCACACAGGGTTGGTGCATGGGATCAGTTTGTGAGCCCAATCCCACACTATCCTAATCCAGCTGCATGCCAGCCTGTCTCAGCCATGTGCTAGCACGATCTGGTGCACAAAGCCACATTATCCAGCCCACAGGGCTGAATAATGTGTCCATAAATTTGGCAGCAGGGAAGCAGCAATCAACAGTGCCAGCACTCCCCTACTACAAAATTTAGGAACCCTTGGGAAACCCTGCAGGCCAGCTGGCATGGCTCCACAGCCGAGATCTGGGCTGTGGGCCAGGGGTTGAGTACCCTTGTGCCATAGCAGGAAAGAAGCAGGCAAGGCTGATTCAGTACTTCAAAATTCAACTACAGTGATACACATCAGCCATTTGTCTTTTCAAGTATGAGATTCTTCCAACGGTTTTATCACTTCCCCACCCTCTTCAACTCAGGTACTGTATCCAGTTCTTGGATAGCTTAACTGAGGCCTAAGAAAGTCAAAAGGGTGTCTCCGTGTTCACAAAGTGGGGCAATAGCTCATTTTAGATTATTTCAGAATCCTCCTAAGAACAGACCACTTCCAGAAGCTGAAGTCAACAAGCACAGCTCAATACCTTTTAAGATGAGGGCCTGTAAACACAGTCCTTACAGCCTCATTGCTGTCATACACTATTTAAATACTTGGCTTATATTCCTATTGAACAATGTAAACAACACAGGTCCCCATCAATGGGTTAATTCTATCATTCTGCATGTCACACACATTACTCGTAGGTGCTAATCAGGTGCTAATTAAGGCAGTGCAAAGCTTCGGTCCCTGATTTGATTCAGCGGAGATTCAATCCAATTCAGCGGCCAAATCTCCAAATTCAAATTGAATCAGGAGAACCTTTAATCTTTCTGAATCAAATCGGAACCCTCTGAATCAATTTGGAGAGATTTGGAAAGGTTCAGAGATTCGGACATAGTCACAGCTTTAAATGTTTTTTCTACATACCTCTAGGTAACAGGTGGTTCATGAATGCTGTGATGCTGGGGCAAATGGAGTGTCCCACAGAAGCACGGGGGGCTCCCCAGCACACTCATCAGCAGACCTGGAAGTGGACTAGGAGCACTTCCAGTCCACTTCTGGGTCTGCCAGGGAGTATGCAGGGCCCCTCTCCCCACCCCCACCTACCGGCTTGGCAACTGGTGCCTCCTGGGTCTGGGGGGCACCCGGGGTCAGCCAGTCACCAAGCCAGAGGGACTCAGAAGTGCTTCCTGGCGGACCCAGAAGTGGACCGGAAGTACTTCCAGTCCACTTCTATGTTCGCCTCTGAGCATGCAGGGGCCCCCCCTGTGCTCCTGTGGGACGCTCCATTTACGCCAGCATCACAGCATTCATAAGCTGCGCCTGGTACCTGGAGGTATGTAGAAAAAACATTTAAAGCTGTGTCTATGGCTGAATTGCTGATTCTCCAAATTCCTCCGAATTGCTGATTCTCCAAATTCCTCCGTTTCCTCTTTTATCAGACTAGAAATATGGTAAACCTAAGGGGAAGGAAGGACTGCTGTAAAATGACATTATGGAAAATCTTCATGCTACTGATGCAAATGTATCATTACTGTAATCAGCTAAAAGGACTGATCACATGGCTCAGGTCAATTAGTCTGAAATGTAATATACACTAACAGTGCTGAGATGGGTAGAGTGAAATTAATCTGACATGTTAATTCCATGTTGTACTGTATTTCCAGCAATGAGTGGCACAGATGTATCAACAATTAACCTCACCGGCATGCATATTTCCATTGCCTCTCTTTTACAGAGAGGACCATAATCAGCTGTTTCCTAGGCAGCACAGTGATCAATAAATACCCTAATAATAACAAATGCCACATATAGGGTTGGATTCTGAAGTGCTCAGCATCTGTAATGCCAAAGGAAGTTTGAAGGTTCTCAGCAGGAATCAGGAATCGCCTTTAAGGGGTCCGTCTATCCATCTGAAGCAATTAACAGTCTAAAGTTACACATATCAACAATACAGTTGTACAAGAGTACATATTTTAACATAATATATTTCCTGCCACTGCAAGGTCTGAGGTATTGGCAGTGCCCTTGTTTGCTCTGCTCCTCACCTCTGCTACATTCAGGGTTATTAATAAAGTGCTCTGTGACTGGGGTGAGTGAGAGAAAATAGGGCAGATGTTCTTGTAAACAATTTTGGAAAAACAGATACCTGCAAATGCAAGGGACTAGACTTGATGGCCTGGGGTGCCCCTTCCAGTCTCATGTTCCTAAATGTAAATGCAAATTTCTCCCACCTGGATCCCTCACTCTGGTAATGGAACCAGAGGAAGATGTAACTCATGGACAGGTTTCTTCCAGTCCTTTCCTCTTTGCAGTTTGAGGGTGTAAAAGTTGCAAGGACTGCTCTGCCTGGGACCTTCTAATGCCTCCAAGAAAAATATCACCCACCGTGCAATTTATTGCTCTCTATAAATCGTTCATCCTCCAGGTTGATCTTTCTCTGATCTCCATGAGTTTCCACATTTTCCTCCAGATACCAGGACTGATTTTCATCAAAAACCAGGAAGAGGAGAGCAAACTCCTTGTTCATGTCCTTCCTTTTCCCATTAGGGTGCAGTATTCCTTTTCGGCAGACCTTTAGGGGGCCAATCAGGCCACTGTGCATATCCTAATAAGAACGAGAAGGAAACCTGAGGTATATTTCTCTCACCCTTGGTTCTGCTCCACTATGCTGCAGCAGCCTGCTAACTGCTCCCAGCACCCCTTGCACAAAATGTTTAATCAATACTATCCATAAAACACAAACGCTTGGAGAGCCTGGGCCTAGCAGTTAGTCACCACCTTGAAATGGGTGCAATGAGCAACCAATGAGAGTGCAGGGGGGTCTTTGAACAGGTACATGTTCCATACCTAGCCATGTCTGTCAGGAAGACCAAAGTAGCCTTATCCCCTCTGCCTCTCTTTTGAGGTGATTTTTGACCTTGGGAGCACTAATACGAACCAAAACTGTGGCTGACCTTTCCACAATCTGCAGGAGATTGTGGGAGGGCTCCTAGGACCCTCAGCAGAGTTAAAGATACTTCCCTTTATGTAGGCAAATCAAAAGACATAATGACATTAATGAAGTATTTTTTTCCATTCAGTACCCTGGCTGAACAAGAATTTGGGTCTGAGGATGAGAATCAAATGGTCTCATCTCTGTGTCTGAATGAAATTTTCTACAGACAGGATTTGCTAAGTAGTTTGAAGATTAGGGGCTTTGTATATTCTCTTTTAGATAAATCGTTACGCAGTAAATGAAAAAAGTGTTCAGAACTTCCTGAATTATCTAGGTTGCATGAATGATTTCTGTCTATTCCAATTTAGCCTTGGTTACTTAGCCAGGCAAAGCCATTATTAAATGGGACATGTGATACCACTCTGGAAATATGTGAAGAGTACGAACACTGAGCAGAAGGAGAAATTCTTTTCTGACATATGAAGTTGAGAAAGAGAAAATTTATGCTTAACATCAGGATAAAATCCCCAACAGTGAGACCTATTAGCCTGTGGGATTCCCTCCCTAGGAGCTCTGTCACACGGGGCATTCTATTCTGAATTAAAATCTATCTGTGATGGAACAAGTCTGCATTGTTTCTGAATGCTCTAGACCAGTGGTTCTCAATCTTTTTCCTACCGGGACCCATTTGTAAAGATCCACAGCCTGTCCCAACCCACACCCCTGGCCATGCTGGTGCCCAACCCCCAGTCTCCTCCCTCCCTGGGCCATGCTCCCAATCTGCAGCCCCCTGCTGGCAGCCCCCCCTCCCCATTTGCCCCTGTGCCACTTGGGCCAGAGCATGGTGGTTGCGGCAGCTCTGGATCATGTAGGTGGTAGCAGAGTGAGTCCAGCCCTGGCATGGGCTGGAGGAAGGAGGAGGAGAGGTCTGTGGTATCCCGCCTGCCCTGGGCTGGGCTGCCACACTGCACCAGGCAACCTGGTCATGGTTCCTCCTGCCCTACAAGCAGCTGCTAGCACGGGCACTGGCCCTGGTGCCACCAGCCCGGCCATGCAGTTCTCCTCCACTGGAAGGGGTGGGCACCTCTGCCCTACTGCAGCTCACGACTCTTTGAAATATTCTGGTGACCCACTTTTGGATTGCGACCCATGGGTTGAGAAATGCTGCTCTAGACAATATTACAGGCCTTTATCATCCCTAGCTTATTTATTTTGAAGTTCCAACATTATTTTACCTTTACAGGGTCTACCATGGAGTAGTAGATCCAAGAAACACAGGCAGAATCATTGGATCCTGGGCCAGACCTTTCCGGGATGTCCCAGCGGTATGTTACAATTTCACCTGGGAGCCAAAGAAGTAGCATTATTATCCTCATTGTGGTAGCACCCAGCAGTTCCAATCATGGGACAGGACTAGCTGCTGTCAGGGCATACTCTGGCTACCTTCATTTCAGATGAGACATGGGTCACTTTTGGAAGCCATAGGGTACAGTTAAGGAGGTATTTGCCACTTACTCAAGTTCAAGTTGTTTATTTTTTATTTTAGAAATTGGGGCTCTGATTGAGAGGCTGTTGTTTCAAGGGGGCAAAGTAGTCAGGACACAAATCACCAAAGCAGATTAAAGCCAAATCGGTAGCAACCTAAAGTTATGTTCCCTGATCACAGGTGTAATAGGACAGTGCCTAGGGAACCCACAATGTATAGTGCCAGGCTGCCACAGCATAGATCAGGGTGGCACAATCAGCTGCCAATGCAATGGTGGCAGTTTTGATGCCCTCCCCATCCCCTCCCTCCCACATCCATATCAGCCTCATCAGTTACACTACTGTCTCTGATAGCTATGCATGGAAATGTGTTATTGGTCTCAGCCCATTTTCTAGCAAACAGCAATCCACAGTATGCAGGATAATGTCCCAGCTAACTGGCACTCACGGGTCCCTTTGTGAAGCAGGGTGGCAAGGGACTGACTGGATGATGAACACTGAATACCCTTCTTACACCAACAAACACACCCTTAGGGTGTGGGGACATAAAAGGGGTGGGGAGCTGTGAAGAAACTTGCGCCCCACTTATTCTGTGGGTAAAAAGAGAATGTTACTCTCCAAAGCTGCCAATCCAACACATTTGATGAAAAGAAAAAACACCCTGAAAGTGAATATTTGACCCTAAATGTTATCACATTAAAGAAAAAAGACACACACATGAACCTACTGAAAAAAAAATATCCAGGAGAGGAGAAGGCATCATCATCAGCATGTACATAAGTTAGCCCAGGCAACTGAGAAGTGGCCACAGACTCACCAGGCATTGTAGCTTCCAGCTGTCCATCATTCTTTTCCAGTACTCCATGTGCATGAATGGAGTATGGGTGGGTAGCACTGTTCTTAAACACAATATTGAGGACATCTCCAACTTCTGCCCAGATAAAAGGACCTTGAGACAGGAAGAACATATTTTGAGGCCTGAAAAGGTGACATTTGCAAGGCTGCCCAGGATGGCCAAATAACTGCCCTTCTCTTTATCAGCTACTGATATCACTTTAATTTGGAGATGGGAGGGGAATTCTTCATCATCATATTTTCCCCCAACAAATTATATGTAAACACAGATTTAAGATGAACTTAAAAACTTAGGCTGACTCCTGGCCAAGGAATGCATTTCTGCATTGGTTCAGAAATCAAATGGAGCCTGATCACTAAGCACTACTGTAATGCAAAGGAAAAGACGTCTTCATCACCCACATACAGCCCCTCCTCTCCCTCTTGCCTCCACTCCTCCCATTGGGTTAAGAAGAACTCAGTATAAGTTGGCTGGCATCTGTGACTGTACCTAAATCAGAGTGATATGCTATTTTATATAGCTCATCACTTCACATTGCTTGTGCTATACTGGATGGAGATGGGGGAACTGAGGCCTCTCTGGACCCTCATTGGCCATCAGTGTTTGTTCTACTGCTTTGTAGTGCTTGGTGCCCTCTTCAATAATGCTGAACTGAGAAGTTTCTTTAAGACTTAGAGATTTCCATGTGCAGTTTTCAGGAAACTTTGAAACAGTTAAGTTTGCTCCCATTTTATACATGGGGGGGAACAGTTATGAGTGTTGCTTTGCAGTCCTGGGCTGGGCTGGGCTGTCTGCTCCAGAGAACAGGGCTGGCCCCGCCCTTCTGCTCCCTAGCCAGAGCTCCAGCAGAGACTGTAGGCACAGCAGGGTTTGCCTGACTCCCCCCTGGCCTCCCCACCTCACCACTCACTGCTCAAACAGAGATTCCTGCCCCTCCTTCTCACCTCCCACATGAACCCTAGGCATGTGGCATGCTAGCTAATGCTGAGAGGTATGTGTGTGTTTGTGTGTCTCCAATTTCACTGGGACAGGACAAAGGCAGACAAAACAAAGGCAGACAGGACAGTGTCTGCTTAGGGCTTTTTGGAGCTAAACAACAGGACAGCTGGTAATACCCCTCATTCCTTCCTTGGAAAAAGCTGTTTAAGAAGAGCTTGAACTAATGAGAGAGGCTTTTGTTTTCTTGACGGGCTGCTAAACACTGTGTTATCAGCTTCCTCCTGGCTCCTTTGCCTGTCAGGTTTGCTGCAGACAGTGTGAAGAAGCAGGGAGAGGGAGACTGAAAAGCTCAGTATCATCAACAGATGCATGCACACCATACCCCTCTTTTGCCACAGAGTGTTAACTGGGGGCTGCCCCTTGACCAATGAGCAGAGAAAAGCCTGGGACTGTGCAGGCCAGGCTGGGGGTTTAAACCGCTCCCTAATCAGAGCATCCTGCTGAGGACTGGCCATGACCCCCCTCAGCTCAGAACTGTCAAGGGAATGGATGGCTGTTCTAGTGCCCCCTGGCTTCTAGCCTGTGCCACTGAAGTCATGTGCCTGCATTTCCTCAGTTCAGAGGGAATGTCTGTACACTTGCAAACCAGTTCAACCTAGGCAGGTTAGACTAAGTTGCAAAAATTGAATCAATTCAGGCTCAGGCTTTCTGAATGTCTGTCCCCACTGTGCCTGAAAGATGTACCACTTGCACATTTTCTTACCCAAGATCCCTAAATGCTCATCATCACTGCTCCTGTTCTTGAGTATCTTGAATGTCCCATCAGTGTACTCCCTGTAAACTGCTTTCTTGTATTTAGAGCCAAGGAGTCCATTCTCATTGCTTAGAAATATGTTGCCATAGCTGCAAAATGTAGAATACTGTTACTTTAATGCTACTTTAAATGCATGAATGAAGAGCATTTACTGTGAAAGCTCCATTAACTGAATAGGTTTCACCTTTAAATATCTTGCTTTCATCTCTGAGGCCATGGGAGAGAGCAGAATGGCTCTGAGGGTTGGCTCTAGGACTACCAGTTGGAAACTGCTTTTGGTTGATCATGATCTAAAGTTACTTTGGTACCTCATGACTGAGTAGCTGCTCCCTGGCTGACATGAATTGAGTTTGGCGGACATTATTCTACTCTACAGTGGATGGATGTCTGCATTATAGAAGCACTATATCAGCTGGCTGCAGTGGGCAGCCTCCGTGGGGCACCCATTATGGCACTGATTGAGAATACAGGATTCCCCTCTCAGATATAAGTATGCAAGGAGATGCTATAAGCAGGGAGGAAAAACAAGACCAAAAATTTAGACACCAAAACCACAAATTCAGGGATTTAGCTCAGAGGTGCAAAGGATCGGGAGGTCCCTTGCTCCAACACAAGCATTCAGCCAGGTTTGGAAATGCTAGTCTCCCTTTTGAAGTGGTTGTATAAAGCTTTATCAGGAAGCACTGTCTGAAGAACATGCAGCCTCTCCCTAAGTTCCAGCTCTACCTTTCCTTCTCAGGGTTGTTGTGTCGTTTCAGCTCCCAGCTACGATCTGGTGCATAATCCCACTCCACCTCCTCTGCCATGATGTAGTATGTCCTCACTCCTTCATAGTGCTGGGCAAGAGCAGGAATCTTTTTGCCGCATTCAGAAACAAAGTACTGCTCCCTCATCCCAGACTGATAGTGGTTGGCTGTTTGGCAATAGATCTCAAAATTCCCTAGAGGGCAGCATGGACAAAGAGATCAGCTGTAAAGAATCTCAGCCAGCATTTCTCTCATTCTGTGAGAAAACTGGGCCACATCCATGTTATTTTTATGAGAACTGTGCATACCTCTGTATGTTTGTTTAGTTGTGATGCATTCATTGCTATGGGATGAGATCACAAGGTTTTATGAGGAACCAAGCAGGAAGGGCAAAACAGGATGTGTCTACAAGAGACACTTACTGCACAGTAGCCTAATAACACTGCACAGTAGCGTGCTGGTCAAAAACCATGCTAATATACTACTGCACAGTGTTGTTAAACTACTGTGCAGTAAACATCACAAAAAAAACTGTGGAGCTACTGCACAGTAACTGTAGTTACTGCACATTTCGCTAGTACTTCATTAAGCAACTACTAAAGTAAATGCACAGTAACTACTGGCAATCAAGACTCGTAGCAGAGATAATGTCTTTTATTAGACTGTAAGGGGGCTTCCCTCGCCACCTAGAGTCACATCGCCTCTTGGCTGGAACAGTAGTATCCTGTTGTTGTAGACTGCCTGCCACACCTTGAATGTCTGGGAGATGAGTCTGGACACTACTGAGATCAGTTATGGACTCAAAGTTTCTGCGGCTCTTTGCAGGGCTCCACCATCCCCATACCCTGCCGTCACCACACCCGAAGTTCTGGGCAATGTTGACTGCCACTACGATTCTTTACTGTCTTAACCCGAAGGATTTTAACTGAGGTCTCTGTCTATGTGGCTGCTTGTCCCTTTCTTTCCTGAATGGCTCCCAAGGCAGCTATCGCTGGAGTGGTTCCCTTCACCCCCTGGGATCAGACTCACTGGCTGCTCAAGCCTCCTTGCCATCTCCAAGTCTCAGTTGGACCTTGCCAGGTAAGCCACAGGGCCAATACTTACCCTCTGGCCCACTATACGTTCTCCTTTCTTCACTGGGCTTCTTCCTTTCTCACTTTCTCTGCTCAGATTTCTTCCTCCTTCCTTCCTTGCCCAGGCCACTTCCTTGGCATCCCTTAAATCTCCCACTCTCCAGCTGGGTCCATCATGGCCATTCCCTATTGGCTGCCTGCCTGAGCCAGCTGTTCCCTCTTTACTGCCTGGTGTGTTACTTTCCCTTTTTTTGTTCTCCTCCTGTGCCGCTTTGCTTTTCCAGTGTTTGTATTTCAGCAGCAGGGTCTGCCATGGCAGCCTTTGACCTTCTGCGGCCCCAACCGGCTCCCCAGCTTGTCCCGATCGTGGCAGGGTTCACTGTGGCTCCTTCGGCTCCATGAGGTAAGTTTTTCTTTTTTTCTTTTTTTTTGACTCTGCTCATGGCAGGGTGCTTCAGGCACCCTGTCAAATAGACCAACAAGATTTTTGCAAAAAAATGTCTTTAAATGCAAGCTTCCAGGCACAAACAACCTTCATCGGGCATTGGAGAAAAGATTGTAAAAGTTCTCCTGGGTAGAAATGAAAGTTCATATTTCATAGGATTGCACAGAGGAGTCAATAGAAGGAAAACTCCTCTGGACAGTCAGTTCATAGCTGGTCATGAGCTTGCAATTAAAAAAAAAATTGCAAAAATCTTGTTGGTCTAATAAAAGATATCATCTTTACTATGAGTCCTGATTGCCTTTTCCTCTAGACCAATATGGCTACAACCTGGATACCAGTAACTACTGTGCATTAATGAACATGTATATGCACCCACAGTGGCCTAGATTACAAGTATCTCAGCAAAGGCTTGGACACCATAATCAATTTATAAGTTATAATGAAGGCATCTGCCCACTGCCAGCAGTTACAAAGCTGTTTTAGTAAGACACTGAAAAGTGAAATGATTCACCATTCAAAAAGGGGTGGAAGATAGATTGACTAAGAGAGAGAGTCAGGGTCCAAGGTGATGGAAACTACCCATCAGACTTATAAAAGGGCATCTTAAAAAAGCTGGAGCAACCTGAGCTAAGGGCAACTTGGTTATATTTTGCTAGGACAAGATGTGCATAGGACTCTTATGGCCTTATCCTATTCCACTTATTAGATGCCAAAGTAGACATAGGCACCTAAGTGTGATCCTTTTTCACCCTGCGTGAGTCCTTGAAAAAACATTAATGCAAAAGGTAGAGGGGTTCTTGCCACTTTTTGTGATGTAGTGTTAAGGTGAAAATGAGAGTGTTACAAAAGTAGGCGTTAATGGTTTTTCAGGTACTCCAGATGGGTGAAGTAAGATTCCCCTCCTGTCTTCAGCCCCTGACCCCATATCAGTAAATACCACTCCATTTTGAACAAGGCGTTTCTGTGTCACTGCCCACCTATTCTATCCTGGGCTCCTGGAAGAAAAGGGGCTTACAGGTAACAATACCTGTTAAGTCAGCTGGGTTTATACATTTATAAAGCAGTAGGACTGTGGCTCAGATATTCAGCTTATGAGCAGTAGAACTACACAGCTGCAGTTGGAGTGAGCAGAGGAAATCAGGCCTGTCACCTGAGAAGTTTACTTCAGAAGGACTAAAAAGGGTCTGCAGCATAGCTTGCCCTGTAACCATGATACCACATCTAGCCAAATCAGGGCAGGAGAACAAATACTTCTCAGTTGTATAGATATTTACCTTTGTTATCAGGCTGCATGAAGGCAGTGGCAAATGTGTGAGGGAAGAGATTGGCTGTACCTCTTCTCATCCCATTCATTTGAAAGGTATTTCCCTGGAACACTGCTCCATGAATGTCTGCCTGAGTTCCCAGGCCCATCAGGTGCCAGGCTACAGTGTCTCCTTTACATACCTCCAGCTTGGGCATGTTAGAGAACATAAATCCATTAATGGCTGCAAGAGAAAAAATAATACCCAGATAGTTACAAATTGGCCATAAGAGCACCTTCGTTCACATGCTCCCAAAGAGAAGGAGAACATGGGAATTGCAGATGGCAGTGCATTCCTCATAAAAGCTCATCTGCCATCCACTCCATATCAGCTTCAGACATGCTTTCTGGGCAAAATGGGTCCTCAGATCCCCTTATCTATGCTCTGCCTTTACTCACGGCATATTTTTGGTGCCCAGCTGTTGCATATCTAGGTGTCAGTGCAGCATTTGGCAATTCCATTTTTTAGCAATAAGTTTTAGATAGTGACAGACCCTGTATAAGAAAGAGCAGTGCCATACCATGCATTCTGTTGGACTCCTTGAAAGCTTCATTCTTTTCTACAGAGGCCTCTTCCACTTTCAAATGGTACTTTATGTTTGCATTTAAATACCAGCTGAGATTCTCATCAAACACACTGAAGAGAAGGTAAAATTCCTTGTCGATCCCTTTCTGTTATAATAATAATCATCATCATCATTACTTTTTAAAACAGTTGGGTCAACCATTAGCTTGTAAAATACAGATTACTTTGCACATGGCAAGTTCTGTGTTTTTCATCTCTTAACATGGCCACTTGATTTCATCCCCTGCAGGGCCAAAGGGTTGTCCCCTTACTCCTACATGGAACCTTCATGGAATCTTATCTACCCATAAGTTATCTCAGAATAGTTATTGTTACCATTTGACTGCCTTCCTAGCTCTATGCCAATGTGATGCATATTTGTTTTGTGAAATTCCAAGAGAAAATCCTCATCCTCCATAGGAGTTCACCTATTTTTATGTTCCAAGCCTCCAGAAGGTCACCTGTTTTTCCATACTTTTTTTGTTTAAAAATGGGCTGAATTTTGAGTAGACACTATGTCCGCTTGAAACACAAAATGTTCTCTCATTTAAGCAAAACCTGCACTTATTTCAGCAAAAATGGGACTATATGAAATACTGTAACAAAAATGTGTGTGTGTAACTTGCAATCATTGTCAATATAATTGTTGGAATAAAGTTTAACCATGCAATTGGTCCAACAAAAAGTACCACCCTAAGAATTCCTTGCCTCTCACATAATTCCTGGACCATCATGACTACAACATCATTCTGACGCTACCATTTTATAAGAAGAAGAATTTGTAAAGGATTATGCCCACAAATAGCAAGACAAATATATCCTCAGTGTAACCCTGTAATTGTCAGCAGAATCACACCAAAGATGAATCTAGCCCATTACTTTGACAAAATGATAAAGATTTCCTTTAAAGCCCAGAGTCAAGCTGGTTCAAGTGCTCTAGCTTCTCCCAAAAGACAACTTGATGCATGAAGCTGTTCTGGCATGACTGAACAAGCACCCCTCTCTGCCCTTGCTGCTTTGTTTCCTGCTTTTGGCTTCCTTCCTGCACACATTTTGATTCATGTGTCACTTGGACTAAGGCACTGATTTATAATCAGTGTGCCACAGCACCCTGGGGTGCCTTCAGATCCTTTCAAGGGTGCTGTGGGATGGTACACAATGTTAGCACTGTTAGGTACGCAAACATGAGCCACAAGATAAACCAAGACTTCAAATAGTAATTCATAGTGGTAAAAACATTCTGACCTGTTGTGGTCTTTCTGAGTTCTTTGCAACTGAAAAATTAGTCTATTGTTTTTCTGTAGGCAAAAAACAAGTGAAAACTAGACCCAGCATTTTCTGAGAGGTGCATCGAGTCTAATGGGGAGTGCCTTGATTCTAAAAAGGCTGCAAACCACTGGACTAAGGCCTCATTTCTCCAGTTATTTCTTCTTAAGAAGACAAAGATCCTGAACTACTGCAACAGGGGAGTAGACAATACCTGTTTGTTGTTGTCAGTCAGAGTTCCAGGTTTGCAGATCAACAGGGGGCCAACTAAGCCTGAGTTAGTGTCTCTGAAGGGATTCACAGCAGAGGAGTACATCCAGGTTAAGCAAGGAGGGTCACTGGCTGTGGGTCCAACATGCTGTGGTACTGTCCAGCGATATGTGAAATTATGGAGAGGTTTAACAGAGACTCCATTCCACGACAGGCCTATAAAACACAAGAAAAGATGGTACGTAAGCTTTGTAACACTTTATCAGCTGTATTCAGACTGAGATTTGCTTTACTTACTATGAAAGCAGCTGGGGTAGAATGTAGCAGCTGTTATAAGAGTGTCAAAAGTACAGCAGAGACAGAAGCATGTATTATTGTACATACAACTGTGGACAAGTTTATGGAAAGTGTCATGGCAGTGGTGGGCCAAGTGGCACAAAATAAAGAAATAAATCCAGTTAAATCCTCAGGAGAATGTAGGTAGTAGAACTATGACTATTCAAGTTGGAGCACACTACATACTCTCCTGTGCTTGTGGTTAGAAATAGGTGGGACCTGGCTTTTATCTCATCCAAAAATTACAACCTCTGGTATTTCTCTGCTTCTGGCACCATGCTAAGGTTCTGGTTCAGTGATAAGTCAACAGGAAGAGCATCCCTTATTGAAACACTAGTACTACCTCCTGCAGCAGCCCCTAGTTCCTGAGCATGCCCAGCCCTGTTCAGCTGGTGAATTCTGAGAGTGTGCGCATATGACACAGAGTAGCTGCACTGTGAAACCACAATGCTGGGGCTGCCATTGCATTAGTTTAGATGGTATGGGAGTAACAAACCATTGTGATAGATAGCTCCTTCCCATTCCTTCCCATAAAGTACTCCATGGGGCTGAATGCTGAAGGGCCAGGAGGCTTTGTTAGCAAATATCACCAAGATGGTGTCTCCCACTTCAGCTTTTATCACTGGACCTGCAGAGAGAAACAGAGTGAGTGAGTGGATGGGATGACAGAGGGGCAACAATAATGGGCAAAGCAGGAAATCAGTGGCTGTTTCTATACAGAGTTTACAGGGACAGAATGTAGGGCTTGACAGAACTGCTCCTCTGTTTTTACCTGGGCCAGGTAGGCTTGCTCACTTGTTGGCATCAAGGTGGAGATGGCAAGGGGTGGGTAGAAGCTATTTAAAAGGTAAAAGTTTGTCTGAGAGGCTTCAGCTAAGGATTTTCCAGGTCCTAACATCTGGGACTAAAGTAAAGGAGAGGGAGAGCTCCCCATCCTGTGGTAGTCCCTACTCTTCCTCTCTACTACTACTCACCACTTCCTGACCCTACTTTAAATCAATGACCAAAAGTCCATTTGCTTCAATGGGATGGGATAAGGCCTTTAGTCTCCTTTGACCAATGCTTAAAAAGCTTCCATGAGCACGAGCCCCAGAGAAGCTATCAATCTAATCTATGATTGTCTATTTGTCATATTCCTAGTATATCCCTCACCACCACCAATAATATTGATCTCCCAAATTTAAAAAAAACACTCACCCTACTCTCTTATGCTGAAATAGCTATAGTTGATATTATGAAGGGAACACTTTCTTTTCAGAAGTTACTGCTTCTACAAATTACAGGACAATGCCAGCCAATTGGCATTGCTGATACATTGCTCCAGCTCAGGGGCATCAGACTCATCTTGTGCCCTGGGCTGGATCAGAACTGCAGTGCTCCTTGCAGGCTGAAGCCAGTCCAGGCATAGTGGTTTTGGCTTGGGGCACGCAGCAGTAGCAGCAGCAGTTCTGGCTCTGGCAAAGCATGGTTCCAGCTCCTGCTGCTTGCCCTGAGCTACAGTGGTAGGGCCAACAGCCAAGGAGGTAGGGTCATGGCAGTGGTGAAGCAGCCAGAGGGTGACCGGGTCTGCATCAGCCCTTGATTTCCCTCCTGATGCTGACAGTTTTATCCCAAGGGCCCCAGATTCTGCAGCAGGCCACATCCCTCATCATACCCCCTAACTTCTTGTGCCCTGCAATCAGACCAGACAAAGTGGCTCCATGAGTTGATTCTGACCCACAGCATATATGTTTGACACCCCTGCTCTACCTAGTGTTGAAAAAGGGGTTATTTTTTCCAGGCAGGTCCTACCAAGTATCCCAAGATGCTTCTCTTCTTTCAACCGCTCTTTTTCCACCCGGAAAGTTGCATCAGTGTATTCCGTGTATCTGGCCTTCCAGTAAGTTCCCCCAATCCGACTGGGGCTCCGCTTGAAGAACTGCTCAGCAGGGCTGAACACAGAGAAGAAATTTCACATGATTTTACAAATAAGTTCTCTGGGCCCCAACATAATGGTAGTGACAGAGAAAGCCTGCACTCTTGACTTGTGGAAGCATGTCACTCAACTTCTTTATAGTTCAGTTTCTCCTCCTCTGTAAAATGGGTTTTTGAATTTATGGACTTCCTAGGAGTGGGTGAGAGAATTTATTGATTTCTATTTGCACATGTTCTGAAAGCAGAAAGCACCATTCAGATGCCAGCTCTCATGATATCCATTTGGTGTGAAAGATGTCCCACTGAAATGTGGTGGGACCCAATGCATGACTGGGCAGTGAATATCAAGGGCTATAGGCTGTACAGGAGGGACAGGACAGGGAGGAAAGGCAGGGGTGTGGCAGTCTACATTAAGGAGGAATACATATCCTCATCAAGTAGCACAGAGTCAGAGGAGGGGCACACTGAAGTGCTCTGGGTTAGAATACAAGGCAGTCAAGGGGAAAGAGACTTAATGGTGGGGGTCTACTACAGACCACCCAACCAAGGGGAAGAGCTAGACCAGGAATTCTTAAGTCAGCTCACGAAGGTAATTAGGTCAAAGACGTGGTCATCATGGGTGACCTGAACTTTCCAGACATCTGCTGGGAAGAGCAGTCAGCCAGGTCTGACCGCTCATGTAGGTTCCTAGCCAGAATGCAGGGCCTCCGTCTAACCCAGGAGGTGCACAGCCCC